TAACGCTCCGATAGGCCGTAGTTCCGAAACCGAAATCAGAAGGAAGTAAAAAGTTCAGTCTCAACATTATTACTTTTTTTTGAAACCAGTTCCCAAGCACTCACCTCTGTCTTATTATCCGCGAGGTCAGAAACAATATACTGCCTTGCCAAGAGGCATACAATAAAGTACGTATGAACAGCTAGGCAGACAAGCTGCGGGTACATGATAGGGATAGGTACCCAGTCGTAGTTGCAAATCCAAGCTAAACCCGTGCGGAATTTTTTGATTTCCTGCAAGCCATTCGAGTTTTGAGTATTATAACGCTGAGGAGAGACTTGTTTTGGACCTCACCTCCTGAACAACAACTTGGTAGTAGTCACTTTCAATCAGCCCCCTTTTCCGAGCATCATAAGTGAGCGACAGGGCCCATTGAAAAGGAAGCCAGTACTTGGAGTAGCGGTACTGAATTTCGTCAAATCGCTCTTTTTCATGTGGCATCATAAATCCTGAACGTGGTAGGATGAACGTTAACTATCATGTATATTTACTTTCCATGCTCTGTTCAAAAATCACCTGCGGCCACCACCGTGTCTAGTGTAGGAAACCGTCGCCTTGTTCTCATACTGATATCTCGGAACACCAAGACTTGTGCCAGCTCGCAGTATCGCACTATATTCCTGCGGTACATTCGTGCCAATTCACTCCTTCCTCGAACATACTCAGCCGTCATCAAACCGATACTGAAACATTTGAAAGCTGCGAGAAGTACGTAAATGTATGGAAAGGAATGGAAAGAAAAGGAAAGGGATGTCAAAAGACTCGAGACTCGAATATGCATTGAAGCATTAAGAGTTATATATTGTCGGGGAGTATTGCGTTATAGCCTTATCGCGGCGAGATCAAGTAGAGTATTTCCTTGCTAGTTGACTCGCTAGTAGTCAGCGAGCTGTGAAATACTAGTGCAGTACTTATATACTCGAAATCCCTGAGATCGGGTAGGCGTGGCTGCATGTTTCAACTTAACCTGAAGGTGTCTATGCTTCTGGTGAGATATTTTCATCTTGACACAATTGTTGTCGTGTCTCTGTCCAACACAGAACAAGATGACAGTTGTCAGACTGGAATATTCCACGAGTAACCAGTTCCGTGCCATGTTCAAATGCCACGCCTACCCTGGCTCAGGGATAAGGAGTGTAAGTGAGCAAAACTTCTGGAAACGACTTTTGACAGCAGCTTGCTAGATTCCTACTTTCAAAGTAACAAACAAAATGAATGCAAACTGAAAAGTACTACGGCAGGAATTCTATTTCCGGATCAGCTAAGCATGCCCATTCCCCCCACGGTCCTACGTAGGACATCAAGTTGTCATGCCAGGGCTACGAATGCACGTGCCGTGATTAGGTGACCCCCATGTTCACCGCTCTCCTTGCAGGCCCTCGTGATGTCCAACACCCCGTGGCAACTGCAAGCAAAATAGTACGATGGGCCGCTTCAGAGATTCTCGTATCGGGTAATCGGCAGTGCAAAAAATTCAAATCGGTTTCAGTAAGGACGTACACTTTTGTGTACAAATACAAAAATTAAATTCCGTTATCTTCAGTGATTTAAATAGTTACTCTTGTCAAAGAGATGACACGATAATGACTGATCGCACACGTTGAGAAAATAATTGCTGATCAAAAAATTGAAAAAGATCCATTTTTAGAAGAACCGAGAATACATTGAACAGCCCTCATAGATTGGTAAGGAAGTTCTGTCAGTGTTAGAATTTTGTTCAGTGTTGCTAAGTTCGCATACAATAAATTTAATGCGAAGTATGTAATTTCAGTAACGCCACTGTTCTCGCCAGCAGGTCAGCGCTATTTTTCTCTGAGAGCGGGGAGACTGCGAGGTGAAGAAGTCGGCGATCCACTAATTTCAACCTGCTGAAAGTTTTCCCAGATAGGAGAGCCTCTAGGCGGATGAAAAAGTAGTAGTCAAGGGAGCTACGTTCGGAGAATATGGTGATTGCGCTATGGCCTCCCAGCCTTGCTCTTAAATTTTTTGGTAGGTCTCCATAACAGCGAGGGGTCTCGCATAATCGCGGACGCAGAGGGGATCGACAGGTTGGTCTCGTCACTTTTCTCTGATAGCAATACGAGCGGGTTTCTAGATCTAAATTCATGAGTGGCTAGGCGTTTGTCGTATGTGTTCTAGATAATGGCTTGCTGATCTCAGGCTCCCTCTGGCGTCCCAAAGTGGGCGACAGGCCTGACTGGAGAAGACCTTCGGAATTCATGTCACCTCCAAACAGCTGCGAAACTTCTAGTATGGAGTCACCCATGGATAGCTACCTGGGACCAGTACTCTCGATCTGGATGACCTCCAACATCGAGCAGCTCCGACAACGTCGCCACGGTCTAGACATCATCTTTCACGCAACGGTCGCCAAGGGCCGCGCGTGATGGTATGGACGCGTACGTACCCTGTTTGGAAAAGACCAATATTTTATTCGTGCACACCGGACTGAATGGTCACGCTGGCGGTTACATTGGGCAACTCGTGAAGAATATCCTCCTCACATGTGGTCGCCCGTACCTTCTTGGAAACTTTGTACTGCTACAGCATTGAGTGCCACCACATGAAATCGAAGGGCGTTGGAGAAACACTCGCCTACTTGGAATGGAAGGGGCTGAGTACCTAAAGAAGATGGAATATCCAAGTAGGTCACCTGACCTGAATCCCCTCAATTACCCGGTTCGGGCGGAGTTCAATAGGGTGGTCTACGGTGGCGGAGAAATCGACTATCTCGCTGAGAGGCACCACATTCGCTGTCGCGTGCAAGAACCTCTCTATGGCCCTTTTCCAGAAGGCTGTGGCGGAGTCTCGTGATAGTATTTGACATGCTCTCTAATATGGTGGTAAAAATCCGATCAGAATCTCATTCTAAATGTGACTTATGCGCCTCAAGTCAATGAAGAAAAGTGACTTTTTTTTGGGCCTCCCGCTTGTATATCTTCTCCCATACCTATCATATGAATATTGCATGTAGCATTTTCTACAACGCCTGCTTATGATAGGTTTAACGACATTCGTACGTTTTGAAAGGGCCGTAATAAGGACATTCACATTTCTTTGTAACTGAAAACGAACTGGAGCAAAGAGCGCCATGCGTTAAAAAGGCAACCGTGATCACTGCTGATCGGACCACATTTCGCCTTTGGTTGCTCTCATTTTTGAACATCGGGGGTTGGAGCGTAGAGCTTCCACCACATCCCTTGTAACCCCCTCCCCTCTGCCAGAAACCAAAATCGTGAGCTTGAAGTGAGAAGTATTTCTGTCATGCGTTCTATTCAATATTTCGCTAACGGTGTTGACACAATACAGCGCTGTTTACAAACCTACGTGGTCTTTGATATGAATCCACATAACCCTTGCCTGTTCCCGACCCTAATACATGCTGGGAACATGGCCCCACGCACTCAAGCTTATAAAATTACGCCTGCTGTAGCGCAATCAGTAGTTTCACCACCTAGGACATATAACACTGCTCTCCACAAATCCCAGCCGTGAGGTCTGTGTCTCACAAGTTGCCACTTAATATCGTTACTTGGATGCTCAGCATGGCTACCCCACCCCTCCGCGAGCTCACCTGTGCTCGAACAAGGCGCTGTTGGAGCGCGGCAAACATTTTGTGAGAATTGAATGTTATGTACACCTTGGGCAAATAAGGATTACTGACTAATGACCACGTGGTAGAAATACAGCAGCAAGAAAACTGTTCATAAGTGTTTTAATGTGATCACTACTGTTCAACGCCGCTGCAGACTCCAAAAGTTACTAAGAGAATGCAGAACTACGGGTAAATTCTTGACCCAGGCAGGACTAGAATGGGCTTGTCTGAATTTTCTTGTAATGAATGTTCATAGCAAAACGCAAAATTTCCGTTCCAACATGGCCGGCGTGTATGTGGCGAGAGAATCGTAATCGCAGCGCCAGGGGCGTCGCGTGCGACTTCGCGCCCAGAGGACGATTTTAGGTGGTACTGCTCGAGAATAGACAATGGGTGACCACTACATGAAATCTGATGCTAAAATTGAAATGTTTGGGCAAATTAAGGAAACGTCGTGCCCATTGCCGCGCGCGGTGAAGTGACACTTTACGATTCTCTTGCCCGTCTCCCATGGCCGGCCACGATAGGGCTTCATTCAGAACTACCTATGCCAACAAGCGATTCATTTAGTGAGGCTTCAAGATAAAAGTATGACAAAACTGAATTTAAAACTGACTTATCAATGAAACCTATAATCTGATACAGTGTTGTCCATCGGTTCACAACAGCAGTGACGAAGAAACCTAACATGAAGTTCAAAGGAATATAATTCAGCCTCGCATCACAATAGTGAACCACTCGCTCAAATGTCCTGAAATAGAACGGCTGTTTTGTGAATTCGCAAAATGTCCGCTTCGCCAAAAAAAGCTCTTAAAAGCATAAATAAGTACAAGGGCACGTCCTATCGCTGGGACAAATTTGCAAACGACCTTTCGTTGAATTTCCTCCCTTCCCCATTCTGTCTACCATTTTGCTGATCTTTACCAATTAGCAACACTTTTTACCGACCCTTTTTACCGATTTTCCAGGAAGGATTGACTGTTGTCGGGGTAGGGGGAGGGTCACCACCAAACACTACCTAAACTCAACTACCGGAAATTGGATTTATGTGCAACTTTTGCTGCACTTCCAGCTGGAGGAGGGGGGAGATGATGCCATATTCCTATGCGTATAAGTGAATATGAAAGATTTGGTTCCCGTCTATGGAAGCATGTGAAACGGAAAGCTAAACAACCTCTTGTAGTCACCACATCCATCCCCCCTACTTCAAAATGTCAAAATGTCAATGACAGAAGATTTTATAGATAATTATAAATATAAGGCATAAAATCAAATTGAAGTGAATTCAAAAGGATCACCTTTGTTGTTCGTGTGACATGGCCGTTCTGTAGATGATACTGAGAATACCGTAAAACATTAGCCAAACGACCAATTCGAGTATGACCGCTTTCCAGATGCTGCCTCGCCATTTTAGCAACAACTTGAACAGCGTCCATGGTTTCGATGTTGAAACAGCCAAATTGTAATTGATTGTCATCTGGAAGAGAAAACTTCCCTGGACGATTCATGGAAAACAAACCAGTATTGATTTCATTGCAGAATCATTACGATCAATTTATCCACTTATTCGCACAACGAGACGACGAGAGCTTTATCATCGCTTTAGGCGTCGATAGGAAGGGCCACTGGGCATGCAGGATAAAAACGCCTATCAGGACAGAATACGGCACCCCGGGCAGGCACTGCAAGGCGTCTTGTCCAACGCTTCAGATGCAGTGGAAACAAAGGGGAACTAGTCT